TCTTGCCAACCTGCCCACCCACAAAATGGAGGCTGTGGGGTCTTGGGATCTACCTCAGTCCTGGGAGGCCAAGGTGGCTCCTCCCCATGCCAGGCCTCCCTTGAAGCCTGCTCATGCACCACCCCTGCCCCCCCAGAGGTCATGGACCCCCAGTTGAGAACCACTGCACTAAACAACTGTGGTATGATCTACATTAAAAACAGGATCATTTTGCAAGATTAACAACAATGCTTAATGGACTGAAATGTTCCTCTCACATGGCATTAAAGAAAATAACTCCTCCCTTGTAATCCTGTAAACTTTAAAGCATGACACAAGCTGTTTATGCATCACCTGGTGTGAATTCTGTTATAGTCATGACTGTACGACACGTAAGGCAATAAGATATATGCTCCATGTGTTAAGAACAAGAAAATACAAAACAACACACACAAACTTCAAATCTGTTATTTGTTTGACCTTTACAGATAGATGGAAGAATAGTTTCACCCTGTTTAGAGAGCGTATCTTTGCATCCAGCAGATATGGACCCTGTCATTGAGGGTCCATTTAACTGTGGTCCATTTAGCACCAGGGGCTTTCCTACAATACAATCCATGCTCTGGCAACACTGCTGCTAGCTGAAGTGGTATGGAGCCACTAAAAATGTTCAGGTGTGCACATGTTCAGCAGGCTTGGGAGTTGCAGCTGCTGTCTGCCGCCAGAAATTGTAGTTGTAATAAAACTGCAGCTCCTTGGTGAAGTCACTGGTAGAACAGACTGCAAAACAGGAAGAGGATTGAACCCAGTGATCTTCCTGCCCCCTTCTGCTCACATTAATGGAAGTGCAATGAGTCTCCTACATAATTGGGAACAGACTGTGGCTTTTAAAATCAAAATGTTCCGTCACTGAAGCAGTTGAAATCCTTACTCAACTTTGCATGAGGTTACTGGTGAACGTGTTAACAAGATTAACCATCTCATTTATTACTGAAAGCTCATTGTATTTGAAAGGGATCAGTCTGAGTAAGAATACATAACTCCTGCTTGCATTCAGGGTACAAGTGCAACAGTCCCATGTAGCTCCACAAGCAGCCTAGTAGGTATTGAAGGATTAGATACAAATTTGCTTGTCCTACATCTGTAAGCTCTCATACTAAGTTACCCCAGAAGTGACAGATGCCATTAAGAGTGGGCTGTTCCCCCCACAAGACTTTTAATACTAATCTAATATGCATACACAGATGTATTTCATAAAACACTATTAAAATAGTTTTCATCCATTTTTCACAAGCTGTCATACCCTATAATGAAAGCCTGGTCTCCACACCACACATCCTGAGCAGAGATTTCTTCACAACCTACAGTCCAATATACACCATTTCTAAAAATACAGTATAGAGCTGAAACAGACACTGAGGTTTTTGCAAAAGCCACAGACATGAATGGAAAGGTCTTTGCAACTAGAGGATTATTTGTTGCCGTTAAAAAATTCCAATAAAATTCCAAGTATTTGCCCTTCCTTCTTGAAAATATTCAGTATTTGAAAAGTTAAATTTTTTAAAATGTAATGACTTGTTTCCCAAGCAGGAATATCTTCAGGAAACAATTATGAATTGTTAAGAATTGTCAGAAACCTAATGAGAAAAAATCCTTCGGGGGAAAGAAAAAAAAGAGACTAAAACATTCCTTTTCAGGAAAAAAGCATAATGATGTCACATGATCAAAGTCAGGGAGAGAAAAATAAGCAGCTTATTTGCTACACAAACGTTACGTGACTTTGTTCCTCACTGCTATTCCCCCATGCTCACAGTCCTACAACCCTGCCCTGAGGACACAGTGTTCTTTCTTAGTCGCTAGCACTTACTCTACTAACCCAGGTCATGCGTTTAAAGTTGGCTTTTAATACTCTGTGCTTCCGCAGTGCTTTACGTGTTTCAA